ATCAAGGTTGAAATTAAAGTGTCAAATGTTCTTAAAGTGAAACATAGCACTAGTCTCTTAGAAAATGGCATCACAAGTCAGTATCTCGTGTGTCCGCCATGTGCATTGATGACTGCCGTGCAACGTCGATACATGGAATGGATGAGGCGGTTGCTGAAGGATATAGGCACTTGAGCCCACACTCTGAGGAACGCCTAACGCAGTTCAGCTGCAGTTGTCGGCCTTGGTCGGACGTAATTCAGCCGTCTTTGAATCTCGTCCCACAGGTGCTCAATGGGATCTAAATCGGGACTGAGGGCAGGCCACTGCATGGTTCTGATGCCATTCTGCTGGAGGAAGTCTTTTGTTGCTCTCGCAGTGTGGACAGGGGCGTTATCATGCTGAAACTCGTGGTTGCGGGGACGTGCAGAATGAGGTATGGCGCGTGGTCTCAAGACTTGATCAATGTACCAAGCTGCTGTGACACCATTGACTCTCCCTGGACCGATGTTCTGGAAGACCACAGGGCCGACCCTCTGTGCAAGACCAATTCCACCCCACACCATGATGTTCGGACCACCCCACGAGTCTCTCTCAACAACACAAACGTCCGAATAACGTTCCCCACGGCGTCGCCAGACTCTCTCTCTCTCTCTCTCTCTCTCTCTCTCTGCCATCTGCTGTTTACAGTAACGGCTCTCGTCTGAGAAGAGGACTCATCTCCACTGCAGATGGCGCCAATGCTGGTGCTGTGTTGACCATTGAAGACGGTCCCGGCGATGACGTGGTGTCAGAATTGGTCCTCGGTGTGGCCTGTGACAGTGGAGGTGTCACCTCGTCCGCACTAACGTGTCGCTGGTGTGTCCCCATGGTCTGCCGAGCAGTTTCCGCAGCAGTAGCAAAGCGATCTTGAAGATGCTGTCGCACAATCTGACGATCCTGACGTCGGGTGGTTACCATTGGTTTCCACTACGTGGTCGGTCATCTGGAGTGTTGGTGGTCTGGTACCGTTGGGGTTTGTCCAGCTTGCAATCGTGGGCTTTGTGGTAGCAATTCAATAACGAATGAATGGTATCCGTTCTGGGTGGATTTTTATAGGGCAAGAAATGGGGGGACGCATGTGCATTTCAATTTGCACGGAACTCACGTGCTTCGGATTACCATGGCCGTTGCCGTGATGCGTTTGGGCGATCGGTTATATTGTCATCTGCTTTGTATTTTTATCATCAAATTTCATTTTTCCGGACAAGGTAATGTTAAATTTCAGAAATTTTAGGAAAAGCAATGTTACTTGGGGTGACGTTTCTTTTGCGGTTCTGTATATTTAATATTTTAAGCCGAGAAGGTTACGCAAAGTTGAAAGAGTTACCACAGAGCGTGCTTCAGGTCTGAAGAATGCAAAAAGTTCCATCTCCCGGAACTTTGAAAAAAGTACATTTTGTGTTTGATTCATACAGAGTTCGTGGATGACTGAAGATGCAATCCGTTCTGTGCCACCACAACGTCTTTGGAACGTTGGTCAGATAACATTTTTTTCTTATCTGCTTGGTCATTATCATGTACGAGCAGAAGTGTGAGTGAGTTGGGTTTTATGCCGCTTTGAAGTTAAAAGTAAGTATTATATCATGCATATATAAAGCGTGCCAGCCTTATGTGGAAGTTAAATCCAAAGTGACGCAGTTTGTTTCTTTGTTATTTTACGCCGCACTCAGCAATAATCCATCTATATAACGGCAGTCCGTAAATAATCGAGTCAGACAAACGGGTGATGCCAATTCCATTTATAGGACAAAAGTAGATGTGTACCACTTTGCCCGGGTATGGTGTGGAGAAAACAAGTGAAATAACTTCATGACATAACTATATGACTTTTTAAGATCTCATGTTCTTAGCTATTTTAATATTTTAATACATATAATGTATGTTGCTCTGGGCAATTTAGGGGCGGTCGGGTAGCCTAGTGGATAAATCGTTCGCTCGTCACGCCGAAGACCCGGGTTCGATTCCCGACATGAGTACAATGTGTGAAGCCCACTCCTAGTGTCCTCCGCCATGATATTGCTGGAATGTTTGGAATGGTGTTTCTGTGGACGTTAAATTGTCTTGCAACATCACGTTGACTCGATCCTGCTTCAAGCATACCAATGGCTCGCAGACACTCATTTTCGGACAGGCGTGGCATTTCGTAATGTTGAATAATTGCGTTATTTTTTATTTTTTTTCTGAGCGGTTGTTGTCAGCACGATGCTAAACAATGCATATGGAATCCCTTTAACGCACATGTGTTTATACCCATTCTTGGGTAGTGAAATGCATGGGGCTTGCATAAAAGTCAACTTTTGCGTGGAATGCTCGCCTTTCTGTAGCAGTTGCGTTTTTGTGACTTGATTCCGTACATGTACTACAATATTGAAAACCAAACTTTACTTGTTTAAAAAATAAAATATTGGTGTCACAGGAACTTTTGTTGTTGAGTATATAATTTATGCAGGGAGCATTTCCATAAAGGGAGACAATTGCCGGGAGGTAACTCTTGTATGACAATAATTCCGTCAAAGTGTTATGTTCACTGCAGTGAAATATTTATAGAATAACCCACGAGGTACGAGTGATTACGGAAAATATGTCACGAGTGCAATTTATGTTTTACAACATTAATTTCCCGAGTGTCATATTTTACATAATCACTCGTACCGAGTGGGTTATTCTATTTGTTACCCATAATCATATTATAGACGTTTCAAGGGAAAAAACCTCTCGCCGATCAAGAATCAGCTGTTTTGTATCAATCCGCGTGTGAAAAAACACTGTCCATTTACTCCAATCGCATTTCTCAATTAACGTGTTGTTACGCGTGAAAAATATAGTTCTGTTAAAAAACTATAAAGATCACATTAATGCAGTTATATTTCTGTCCGATTTACACAGCGTACACTATCTAGCATTGATAAAGAAGACATGTTTCCAAAAAGGTTCATCAGGGGGTTTTTAATACAAGGCTTGTTTTGACAAGATCTCGTCACTGACAGACAGCCCCCGTCGTGCATCGGCAGAGACATGCATTTCACATTTAGAAGAGGAAACACGGAAAACCTGTCAAATGTTTTATGTTTCATTTGAAAAAAATGCCAAAACCTATAACAACAACATAGACAGAATGTACAGTAGTCTTGTTTGTTTGAGAATCATTAATTGCACACTGTGCAAATATAAAAAAGTTATTACACTGCATATTTGAGCCCATACGGGTAATAACTATTTTTACGCTCCTGTGTTGACACCACGCGATAACCTGACGATTGACTCGTCCAATCAGCGTGTCCTGTGTCATCTACGGGTGGCCCAGTCGTCTAAGGCGCCGCGATTCGCTGTGCAGAGTTGCGTCCCTAGGGCACGCCAGAAACCTATGATTGTGGGTTCGAATCCCGGTTTGCCCCGATTATGTTTCTAGGTTTGTCAGCACCATACCCGTGCTCGTGGGTTTCACCGAAGTGATAAACGTCTAAGACCTGCATCACTTTGGGCTTTCCTCCCACATTAAGCTGACACGCTGCGATATAACTGGAATACTGTTAAAAGCGGCGTTAAACCCAACTCACTCACTCGCTCACTCCTGTGTCATCTTCGTTGACATTCTGCATGACGCCATACAACTGCACTGTGTTTGTACGAGCAGACCTGCGTAAAGTCAGCTGTCGCCTTTCAGTTGTGTGTGCATACTCCACCGTGTGTATGACATGCACTTGAACAGTTGTGTGTGCATACTCCACCGTGTGTATGACATGCACTTGAACAGTTGTGTGTGCATACTCCACCGTGTGTATGACATGCACTTGAACAGTTGTGTGTGCATACTCCACCGTGTGTATGACATGCACTTGAACAGTTGTGTGTGCATACTCCACCGTGTGTATGACATGCACTTGAACAGTTGTGTGTGCATACTCCACCGTGTGTATGACATGCACTTGAACAATTCATTTGGGCCTTTCATCACGTCCCCCTGTTGTACTCCGTCGTCTTAAAGTGTGACATTGTTTGTGATCGCAAGTCATCTTGTTACATACTATTCAAAGATGTTAATAATTCTGGTGAAAGAGAGAGTAGGGTTTAATGCAACTTTAAGCAAAAATCTAACCACATCAAGGTGGGGTGGGGAGAAATTGGGTTTAACGCCGCTTTCAAGATTATAGCACTTATATAGCGATGTGCATGCTAATGTGTGGCTGTTTGAGATACCCTGCCGCAGTTTAACATGAATACCCCACTTTGACACTCGGTATACTGTCTCCGACCTGAGCAGTCCTTGTTTTAGCCCCTTAATGCTTAGGGCCAGGCATTTATTCCCCAAGGTGCTGATGTACAAAGCGATCTTAGCGCTACGGTGATCGTAACTCCCATACCGTAACATAGACTTACGACAGTCGTAGTGCTAAGGTTGTTTTGTTCAACGGCACCCTGGTTTCTTAGAGTGTGGACATTACTATTGACCAAACTACAGAGGATGAAGTCGTAAGGGGTGGTGTTCTGTTGTTTTAATTTGTATCCATGTATTAACCGGTTTTTTTCTAACCGGACTTTAATGCATTTTAACATACACGTTTAACATTTAACGTTACTTTCCAGAGGACTGCATTCGGAACATAACAACATCACAAAATGCTCCTCGTGTTTATTTTCATGTGCTACAATTGTCGACCTTCAGCACACTCAAAATGACAGATTGAACGCCAACCAATTGGATATTAAACCAGTATACTGTTACCATTTGACATTTGGAGGTGAACATTTACAACAGCTTTTGAATAAGTACTAATGGTCAAAAATTGAGGAACCATAATTTCTCGGTTCGTACCTCATCCATGCATGTTTATTCACAATGACCCGTGAAACTGTCACGTGATCAGTATAATGACAGATCCTAGTATTTACTACAGATTAGAATCTGATCCCAGTAGGCACGGATAGCGTGGCACTTGGGGTTCGTGTGCAAAACGCGAGCAATATGCATTTATAAATGATAAAACCAAGCTGGTTTCTGCCGACCGTGCAACAACGGACTCGAGGACAAAGCACCACCACCATGGGGAAGTGTCCAACGTGCAACAAGGAAGTATACTTTGGTAAGTGGTTATAATGAACCCTAACATCAGTAGGATTTACTGGAAACGATATATCATAGTTGTCACGACAACATATGTGAACCCAACCTTCATGGCGAGCTGCCGTCTGATGACAATTCGCTACGGTTCACTGATTTCCGTCATGTTTTAATGGGATTGTGTTTTCAGCGTTTTAACGTTGTGGTGTTCATGCCGGCAAAACAATTAATCGTTTTATGTCTGTCTAAGAACGTACACTGTACTTGCACAAGGAAACTGTCTCACTGGTTTGATATTGTCCGGTGTAATTAGGTCAGATTCTTCATTCCTTATAGATACGACAATGGCACGAATCACAAATAATTTGGAATGCAGCCTTTATGTTTTATAAACAATTGCCAATTTTCTCTATTCTACATTAAAATGGTACAAACTCGTGTGAAATATATGAGGACGCGTGTTCAGAATGATGACATCCATTCTCTCCTAAATGATGAAATGTACATCCTTGTCAATTTCAGTGAAGTTTATGTGCATTTACAATGTGATACGGACAAGCCGTGATGACGGCACCATCAGTCACAGGTTCAATTCATCGTTGTATTCACTGATAGTCCTGGTCGATAGATATTAACATGCCATGTACACCAGTCACGAATCAGTGACTGCAGACACTACATCTGTTGACAAGAAATCGATATCTCATGTCAGGTCACAAACTGGTGTACATTGCATGTCCGGATACTGTCTGCAATCATAACATTTTTGAATGATTGTGCATTTCATATTCTCTGGCGGAACGATGTGCACACAAAGGGATTATTGAAAATTATTGATGTCCTGTTTGAAAGGTTACTTTTGTATTCTAACTATTGTTTATGTACGGCATCGTCGCTATATGGCTGAAATAAAGCCGATGCGACGTTAAATTTTCACTAACTTTGTACGAGAACGTATGCGCGGTCTTTTGGATAGAGCGTTTGCCCCAAGAGCGAAAGGCTGGCGGTTCGATCCCCAGCCGTATCATACTAAAAGAAGTTAAAGGCTGGTACTTGTTGTTACCCTGCCAGGCGCACACACATACACACAAACACACACAAGCACACACGCACATGTACACACACAAACACACACAATCACATACGCATATGTACACACACATACGCATACACACACATGCACACACATGCACAAGCACACGCACACACACATCGCTATATTAGACATACTGCAATAATGCATTTCACCTAACCTAACCATGTACGAATTGTACATATTGTATTGTCTTGTTCATAATCACTAGATACGTTTTCATAAAATGCGATTATCCGTATTTCGTTATCTCGTATTTCTTTTAACTTTTATTCGTCTTCTACAAATGGTTCAAGTTTCATCACCATAAGAATAATTGTAATATGATATTTAAGAACATCATACATTTTTCGAAATTGAAAAATATGACATTAAGAAAACCGTTATAAAAATATTTCTCTGAATAATGCACAGTTGTATTTGCGCTTAGACAACAGTACAACCTTTTACAAGATATGTACAACGTGCTTTGGTCACGTGATGATGTCCGACATGACATCTCACTTGGACGGAATTGTTGAGCGACTGACCTACGTGACAAACAACGGGAGCTGTAATGTGATTTTAAAGGTTACAACAATTTCCCTACGCCGACGACAGGAAACCCTGAAAATGTGTATGACACATACCACTTTCCTAGTTTATGTGCGGGAGTTTCATCATTAACGTGGTAAACTTGTATTTGCTAGTGCACCATATTGACATTATACTTGTGAAATTTAAAGGTGCTCTGTCGTTTTCAGTACTCTGTAAATCCCTATACGTAGCTATTGGTTACTGATTTTCCTGTTTTTCCTTTTAGACCCACCGGAATCTGTTTCGGCAGTTAATCGAGACTGATTATTCTAAAGGGCTGACGTTTTATATTTACAATACCGTGGTTTCACATATGCCCATGGGCCTATCTGAATCATTTGTTGGAGGTGTATATATGAGGGTAGTCGGGAAAAGGGGTCCGCTGCCAGCTATCTCACTATCATACTACCAACTACCCACTACCGATGCCACCCGTGAAGATCCGAGGTAGAATAGGTCTTCAGCAACCCATGCTTGCCGTAACTATGCTTGTCGAGAGAGGCTACTAACGGGATTGGGTGGTCAGGCTCGCTGACCTGGTTGATGCATGTCATCGTATCCCAATTGCGTGGATCGATGCTCACGATGTAAATCACTGGGTTATCTGGTCCAGACTCGATTATTTACAGACCGCCGCCATATAGCTGGAATATTGCTGAGTGTTGCGTTAAACAACAAACAAACAAACAAACTGCCGTTGCAGATACAGCTATATGTAAACTAGGTGTTTGAAAGATACTTCTCACTTCGTAGACCAAATTGCGTGTCGTAAGAGGCGACTCAAGGCATTGGGTGGTCAGGCTCGCTGACTTGGTTGATTCGCGTCAACGTATCCAAATTGCGTAGATCAATGCTCATGATGTTACTCACTGGATTGTCTAGTCCAGACTCGATTATTTACAGACCGCCGTCATATACCTGGAATTTTGCTGAATGCGGCTTCACACAAACAAACAAACAAACGAACAGACTAATGTATGCCGACAGTGTGGATCGTTCATCACGCTTTCAACGTGGTGTCTAGTGCCTGGCCAAAACTCCATTATATACAGGCCGCAGTCGTCTAGTTAGAACACGTATGGCTAGCGCATAATATCATACTCTCTCACTCTTTTAAATATGGAAGCCAAAATGAGGCATATGGTCAGTTAGTATGGTTTTACGCCGCTTTGGGGAATATTCCAGCAATATCATGGTGGGGTACAGCAGAAATGGACTCCTCTGTTATCGCCCTTGAGCAAAGGGTATGGTTCTCACGGAGTCAAAGTGGCTCATGGTGTCAGAGCTCAAATGCACAGTTGCTAAAGAAGCACATCCCCGGCCACGTCGTATCAAAAGACGGTAAGAGATGGTATTTGTTGTTACCGTGACTGGTGCTAAATCCCACCCATACACAGATACGTACGCACACGTGCACGCACGCACACATTCACACACACACACACGCGTACGCATACACCCACACGCGCACGGACACACAAAGTTCTCAGCTCTGCTGGACTCTATATTTGTCATACACAAAAGCTCTTCACGTACCTAGCTTGTATATCCGTGAGTTAGAGCTTCTTGCATTTGAGGCACGGCCTGTGGTAATTGTTTCAGCTTCTCGGGGTAATCGGTAAATATATCTGCCATTAGAACACAATTATGAACCTAATAATTAGTGCTCAGTACACATGAAAGGATGATTTCTGCTTGAGAGAAATAGGCCAAGTCTAGATCTAGATGTTGTGACTATATGGTACACTGTTCTGTGCAAACGACAGCCTCTGTAGGGTAGTAGGTAGAGCGTATGTCTACCGGAGGGTCGGTGGTTCGATCCCTGACCGCGTCACATCAAAAGACGTTAAAGATTGTATCTGGTGTTAACATGCCTGGCGCTTGGTATTAAGGGGATAAAACAAGGACTGGTCGGCTCGGAGTCAGTATACTGTGTCTGAGAGGGGTAGTCATGTTAAACTGCGGCATGATATCTCAGTGGATTAGTACTATAAGCGGCGTTAATCATCACCTCACCTCACCTCACCTCACCTCACCTCACCTCACCTCACCTCACCTCACCTCACCTCACCTCACCTCACCTCACCTCACCTCACTTCTCTCTAAGGCGACTAACGGGATCGGGTGGTCAGGCTCGCTGACTTAATGGTTGCATGTCATCGATCCCAATTCCGTGGATCGATGCTCATGATATTAATCACTGGATTGTCTGGTCCAGACTCGATTATTTACAGACCGCCGTCATATAGCTGGAATATTGCTGAGTACGGCGTTAAACAACAAACCAACCAACCAAATCACCTCACCTCACCTCACCTCACCTCACCTCACCTCACCTCACCTCAGAAACACGACCTTCAGTGACCAAAGAAATGCAAAAGAATCCCACCAAAACCATGTCCCTATATCAGCTGTACCAGCTAACAACGCATTGTCGTAATCAACTCATTATTTCCTATATTGAGCTCCGCCCAAACTGGGACACCAGTAATAATGCACTGACATGAGTTCCCCGCATTACAACGCCTAGCGATAAGACTATCGGAGCAAGCAAATATCTTATTAATATGACCCGTTATCTCAAGCGTGCACGCATACGAGAAACACAGTGATACACACATCTGGGGCCGTCTCCGTCATATCTGCCAGAGTAATCGTGTGTAATATCAGCTTCCATTTCCGATCGGGGCATAAACCCTTGTCTGTACAATAGATTGTTAATATCAGTCATGTAAGATATGTACATTCATATATATGTGTACGCGTATTAACAGGATATGAATTCTGAGTCATTTATATGAATAACAACGCAGGTTGTGTTGCCTGGAAACTATATGAGCGTGTCCGTTCAATTATATGTGAACGTTATGTTTATCGACAGACAAGTCAGGGAAAATGTGCCAGTCCCATATGCTTGCTGTCCGTTTCTACACTGCTCTACTATCTCTATATCGAACCTATTACTCATGTAAACTTCCGCCTTTAAGATTTGTAATGTGACATGTAACGTTTTTCAAAATAGGGAAAAAAGTTATCGAGGTTGTATTCTATATTGGTACCAGTTTGACTATCATCATGGCCTAGTTTGTATCGATGTATTTCCAGCAACACTATGAATAAACGTGAATAGAGATGCGAGGTGCTTGTCCAAGTCGTCTAAGGCGCCGCGATTCGCTGTGCAGAGTTGCGTCCCTTGGGCACGCCAGAAACCTTTGATTGTGGGTTCGAATCCCGGTTCGCCCAGATTATGTTTCTAGGTTTATCAGCACCATACCCGTGCACGTGGGTTTCACCGAAGTGGTAAACGTCTGAGACCTGCATCACTTCTGGCTTTCCTCCCACATTAAGCTGACCAGCCGCGATATAACTGGAATACTGTTAAAAGCGGCGCTAAACCCAACTCACTCACTCACTAATTTGAGATGATGCAACTGAAATAATTTCGGGTGCAGTGCCATAATTCACAGACCTGTTAGTGGTTGATCAACTCTAGGTTCATTCGGGCTTTGGGTAGCCTAGTGGTTAAAGTATTCGACGAAGGTCCGGGTTCGATTTCTGGTTACAATGTGTGTGGCCCATTTTTGGAGTTTCCCGCCGTGATATTGCTGGAATATTGCTAAAATCAGCGACGAAGCATATTCACTCACTTTCAGTGCATTTACACTTTTGTCAGGATCCTACGAGACAGATAGTTTTGATGATTCAGCACAATAACTCTTTGATGCCTTGTTTTAGTTGATGAAGCATTGTTAATTGCCAGCATCCAAGCCTCATTGGACTCAGCCTTCTCAGGCTACTTTGTGTCTAACGGGAGTGCCAGGATTCTATTTTGGCTCGAAGCCGTATTATGATCCTTGGTTTGCGAGCACCAACGAAGTTCCGTGTACGAGAACTTGGCTGAATAGTAATAGCACACCATGTCGGCTTGTGAGTACGTGGCCGAATAGTAAGAGCACATCAATGTCGACTTGTTAGTACGTGGCTGAATAGTAATAGCACATCAATGTCGGCTTGTGAGTACGCGACTGAATAGTAATAGCACATCACTATCGGCTTGTGAGTACGTGGCCGAATAGTAAGAGCACATCACTATCGGCTTGTGAGTACGTGGCCGAATAGTAATAGCACATCAATGTCGGCTTGTGAGTACGCGACTGAATAGTAATAGCACACCATGTCGGCTTGTGAGTACGTGGCCGAATAGTAATAGCACATCAATGTTGGCTTGTGAGTACGTGGCCGAATAGTAAGAGCAAATCAATGTCGGCTTGTGAGTACGTGGCCGAATAGTAATAGCACATCACTATCGGCTTGTGAGTACGTGGCCGAATAGTAAGAGCACATTAATATCGGCTTGTGAGTACGTGCCTGAAAAGTAATACGTGGCTGTCGACTGGGGAATACGTGGTTGAATAGTGAGAACATATCGATGTCAGCTGGGGAATACGTGGCTGAATAGAGAGAACATATATATCGATGTCGGCTGGGGAATACGTGGCTGAATAGAGAGAACATATCGATGTCGGCTGGGGAATACGTGGCTGAATAGAGAGAACAAATATATCGATGTCGGCTGGGGAATACGTGGCTGAATAGAGAGAACATATCGATGTCGGCTGGGGAATACGTGGCTGAATAGAGAGAACATATCGATGTCGGCTGGGGAATACGTGGCTGAATAGAGAGAACAAATATATCGATGTCGGCTGGGGAATACTGGGCTGAATAGAGAGAACAAATATATCGATGTCGGCTGGGGAATACGTGGCTGAATAGAGAGAACATATCGTTGTCGGCTGGGGAATACGTGGCTGAATAGAGAGAACATATCGATGTCGACTGGGGAATACGTGGCTGAATAGCGAGAACATATATATCGATGTCGACTGGGGAATACGTGGTTGAATAGAGAGAACATATCGATGTCGGCTGGGGAATACGTGGCTGAATAGAGAGAACATATAGATGTCGGCTGGGGAATACGTGGCTGAATAGAGAGAACATATATATCGATGTCGGCTGGGGAATACGTGGCTGAAAAGAGAGAACATATCGATGTCGACTGAGGAATACGTGGCTGAATAGAGAGAACATATCGATGTCGGCTGGGGAATACGTGGCTGAATAGAGAGAACATATCGATGTCGGCTGGGGAATACATGGCTGAATAGAGAGAACATATATATCGATGTCGGCTGGGGAATACGTGGCTTAATAGAGAAAACATATATATCGATGTCGGCTTGGGAATACGTGGCCGAATAGAGAGAACATATCGATGTCGGCTGGGGAATACGTGGCTGAATAGAGAGAACATATCGATGTCGGCTAGGGAATACGTGGCTGAATAGCGAGAACATATATATCGATGTCGACTGGGGAATACGTGGCTGAATAGAGAGAACATATCGATGTCGGTTGGGGAATACGTGGCTGAATAGAGAGAACATATCGATGTCGGCTGGGGAATACGTGGCTGAATAGCGAGAACATATATATCGATGTCGACTGGGGAATACGTGGTTGAATAGAGAGAACATATCGATGTCGGCTGGGGAATACGTGGCTGAATAGAGAGAACATATAGATGTCGGCTGGGGAATACGTGGCTGAACAGAGAGAACATATATATCGATGTCGGCTGGGGAATACGTGGCTGAATAGAGAGAACATATCGATGTCGACTGAGGAATACGTGGCTGAATAGAGAGAACATATCGATGTCGGCTGAGGAATACGTGGCTGAATAGAGAGAACATATCGATGTCGGCTGGGGAATACGTGGCTGAATAGAGAGAACATATATATCGATGTCGGCTGGGGAATACGTGGCTGAATAGAGAGAACATATCGATGTCGGCTGGGGAATACGTGGCTGAATAGTGAGAACATATCGATGTCGGCTGGGGAATACTGGGCTGAATAGAGAGAACATATATATCGATGTCGACTGGGGAATACGTGGCTGAATAGAGAGAACATATCGATGTCGACTGGGGAATACGTGGCTGAATAGAGAGAACATATCGATGTCGGCTGGGGAATACGTGGCTGAAAAGAGAGAACATATCGATGTCGGCTGGGGAATACGTGGCTGAATAGTGAGAACATATCGATGTCGGCTGGGGAATACGTGGCTGAATAGAGAGAACATATATATCGATGTCGGCTTGGGAATACGTGGCTGAATAGTGAGAACATATATATCGATGTCGGCTGGGGAATACGTGGCTGAATAGAGAGAACATATCGATGTCGGCTGGGGAATACGTGGCTGAATAGAGAGAACATATCGATGTCGGCTGGGGAATACGTGGCTGAATAGTGAGAACATATATAACGATGTCGGCTGGGGAATACGTGGCTGAATAGAGAGAACATATCGATGTCGGCTTGGGAATACGTGGCTGAATAGAGAGAACATATCGATGTCGGCTGGGGAATACGTGGCTGAATAGAGAGAACATATCGATGTCGGCTGGGGAATACGTGGCCGAATAGAGAGAACATATCGATGTCGGCTGGGGAATACGTGGCTGAATAGAGAGAACATATAGATGTCGGCTGGGGAATACGTGGCTGAATAGAGAGAACATATCGATGTCGACTGGGGAATACGTGGCTGAATAGAGAGAACATATCGATGTCGGCTGGGGAATACGTGGCTGAATAGAGAGAACATATCGATGTCGGCTGGGGAATACGTGGCTGAATAGAGAGAACATATAGATGTCGGCTGGGGAATACGTGGCTGAATAGAGAGGACATATCGATGTCGGCTGGGGAATACGTGGCTGAATAGAGAGAACATATCGATGTCGGCTTGGGAATACGTGGCTGAATAGAGAGAACATATCGATGTCGGCTGGGGAATGCGTGGCTGAATAGAGAGAACATATCGATGTCGGCTGGGGAATACGTGGCTGAATAGAGAGAACATATCGATGTCGGCTTGGGAATACCTGGCTGAATAGAGAGAACATATCGATGTCGGCTGGGGAATACGTGGCTGAATAGAGAGAACATATCGATGTCAGCTGGGGAATACGTGGCTGAATAGAGAGAACATATCGATGTCGGCTTGGGAATACGTGGCTGAATACAAAGAACATATATATCGATGTCGGTTTATAAGCATGTGGCTGAATAGCGAAAACAGATCATTTAGTACGTAACACCGAGTTTAGAGTGTTTCGTTCAATAAAGAGGAGTGTTAAATATTGAAGAAAGTCCAATAAAGTTAATTATTTTAGTCAGAACATCCAGTGAAGTGGTTTCTACACATTGTATCCTCGTTTTTCTTCAGCTGAGCGGCAACCCTATAACAACAAAGACTTCCACAAGCCATGCTTCAAATGCACCAAATGTGGCAAGAAACTTACACCGGGGAAAATATCAGAGGTACGAATGTATTTTGATTGGCTTTTAAATATTCATTTAAGCGAGGGACTGTTTTGAAGATTTGAAAATACCAACGTGAAGCACCCATAACTGGGAACAATAATTTCATACAAAATGCCAACATATTGTTACTTTTCATTCTTTATTTTTTTATTTCATCAAGCATGACGGTCAACTGTATTGTCCTCATCCTTGTTATGCCGACCTATTTGGACCGCACGGTATGTATCAGTGTACACAGGGGTTTGGTTGGTTGGTTGGTTGGTTGGTTGTTTAACGCCGCTCTCAGCAATATTCCAGCTATATGACGGCGGTCTGTAAATAATCGAGTCTGGACCAGACAATCCAGTGATTGATATCATGAGCATCGATCCACGCAATTGGGATCGATGATATGCATCAGCCAAATCAGCGAGCCTGACCACCCGATCCCGTTAGTTGCCTTTTACGACAAGCATAGTCACCTTTTACGGCAAGCATGGGTTGCTGAAGACCTATTCTACCCCGGAATCTTCAGGGGTCACACAGGGGTTTGGGAAATTGGCTTTTATCGATATGACAGACACATTTCTGGTTACGCAGCTTGTGGATACGGACATGAAAACGTATCACACTATTTCTTTTCCCGCCCCGTTTATGTTGATAGGAGAAATGATTGTTTCTTCACTCTGAGGGGGGCGGTCGGGTAGCGTAGTGGTCAAAGCGTTGCTCGTCACGCCGAAGACCCGGGTTCGATTCCTGACATGGGTACAATGTGTGAAGCCCATTTCTGGTGTCCCCCGCCGTGATATTGCTGGAATATTGCTAAAAGCGGCGTAAAACCATACTCACTCTCTCATTCTGAGGGAGTTGATCTTAACACAATATTGAATGGTAATGCTAACTTTACCAAGAAACCTTGTAATTTAGAAACATTGAAATTAATACATTCATACAATACTATATTCCAAAATACTGTAACTAACGTGAGACTATAAGTCACGCACACATACTAATATTCTACCACTCATTTCACAAACTGCTGTTCATGACCACTTGCTTCTGTTAAAAAAAATTTAAGTTTATCATCTTGTAATTGTACACTGTATTTTGTATATTGCCTTCACGAATATAACTTGTACAGAAGAGGTATTATCATAAGCCTTTTTAGCTATTTTACCGATCCAGATTCATCAACAAAAATATGTTTAAATCAAATGGGCTGGGGCGTCGAAGCGTCAGTAAAATATATTTTCAGGGACTACAAACGTTCACGATGTCTGGCTATTCAGAAGTAATTTGCTACTTTAAAAGCCGCCCTGTGTTCTTCAGGCAATGTGCATAGCCTTGTTGCAATAAGCATGACAATCTCTCTAGATATATATACAAAAATGAGGCAAATGTTCACTCGGTGTACATGTAAGATATAATAAAATAAAAAAAGTTCACGTCAGTCCAACATCTTCTTTATATCAGTTACAGACATAGTACTTTATCAGTTAAACTGAAGAGCTATAACTCGTATAACTGTGGGTTCGCACTGATTATGATTCTTGGTTTGTAAGCACCATACCCGCACTCGTGCTGCAAGTGGTAAACCCCTGAGATATATATTGCTACAATAAAACACTGTTCAAAACGGCATAAAAAGCAACTCACTCACTCACCCGTTCATTAGGTTATAATTTTTTAATTTGAAGTTTACACGATATTCGGCTTTTCCATTGGACGAGAGGTCGGTCACATGACCGCGAAATTGACGTTCATAAGTGTATGAACGACACAATTTGACGTTCATACGTTTTTCACGAGACCGTGTTCTTGAAATGACGTAAACACTGACGGACTACCTCCACATTCCAGGGAAACCCCTGGGAATTCCCTTGCACGAAAACATACATAAGTGGTCTTTCTTATCATTTAGAACCTTTATTCTTGGTCTCAGCGTTTCAGCATACATTGAGAAATGTCAGAGAGCGTGACTGCATGATTGTTCACGAATATCCTCGCTACGGCCTATCCTAATGAACAAACGAAGAAATGCACATCTAAACTATCGTAGTATCGACTCGATCCGTGTCTTCGGCTGACACTGACCGTCTCCAGCAATCTATGAATTCACCTTTGTGTCTGTTTGACGCATCTTTATTCACCTTTCAATGATCGGCCAGTTGATCAATGATGACTAACACATGTAACCGCCACAGGTTCATTAACAACTTCGGAAATCTCTCCCGTCACGTTGATCGTGTCGGCCATTTTGACGTCTTATACTTGATGTAAATGTATTACGACGCGCTGTCATTATGACTGACTTACTGAGGTAGTTCTTTACAGAACTTTATCATCTAATGAGGATATGATTTGAACACATGTGTTGCGTAAGATGTTTCTGAAGAGCAAGTTGTGCATCCATACGCTCATGTCACCTCTCTTTTTGAGGAACTATTTTACTCCGCGATATAGCTGGTTGTTGTATGGCTGTCAGTGTAAACATGAAGTCACACGTACTAAATAAAATTGTGTTTAGACCTTGGCCTACATCCTTTGAGGTGAGAAATTGTGATAAAAAAATTATAAGAATTGACTTTCACTTTGTGTGAGTCCATTGGAGTATAAATCTCCATAGAGTGAGGGCCAACCATTTGACGATTGGAGTATGAATCTTCATAGAGTGAGGGCCAAACATTTGGAACTCACTCTAAGAAGGTTCATACTCCAATGAACTCACACAAAGTGAAAGTCAATTCTTAAATGATCATAACGAATCGTTCTCCTTTGTCATTCCAGGTAAAAAGTGACCTTCGACAAAGACAGTCTCATGAACTAGGGCTGTTTACTTGTTGTATCAACATATTTATTTATCCATGAACAATATTTACTTGTTTTGTTCTGCTTATTTCATTTTTTGACATAAATTTCCCATCAAACAGAATATATAATATGACTGTGCAATATATTATTACACTTGCTCGCATCCATGTATGGACATGTGCTCCTGACCTACATGTATAGATAGGAATATATACAGATGTTATCTTTCATCCGTACACGTGTATGTAACTGCATGTTTGTTACTGTATGTTAGTTTTCAAATAAGTTGTTCATGACCTTGTTTATAAGTTTGACACATATAACCTCAGTGAAACTTTTTTGAGGTATATTCTTTTATCGTGAACGACTTAATTTTGTATGTATAAAGTGAATTAAAACCTTTCCAAACTCTCTGTTGTTCTATTTTCGCCGAGGTACACACTCCGCAAAAACTATTTTAACTCGCAGCATTCTACCGTCACTGCCCCATTTATGTGACACAACGTCATCTGGGCGGCGGGGTAGCCTATGGTTAAGGCGCTTGCTCGTTACGCTGAAGACCCGGTTCCCTACATTCTCATATCTGGTGTCTCCCGCCGTGATATTGCTGGAATATTGCTAAAAGCGGCGTAAAATCATACTCACTCACTCACTGTAACATCATCTTAAATCATTCATGTGGTATTGACACTGAGGGGCTACAGAAACTCTAATTCTCAGTTGATTACATTATCTGTTTGATTGTCAGTTGAAAGTGTCTTAAGTTAGCTATATTATATCCAAAAGATAACTGTGCTGGCGCTTAGTCAGTACCCATAGAACACTCCTACATGGTTTTATTGTTTTTAAATATATTTTTATTAAAAGCTTTTAAAAAATAAAAATTAATGCATAATACACATTTCTGATGAGAATCTTAGACATCTTATCTTTGAAAATCAATAAATTAGTTTTTTTGTGCACAAATTTACAAGATTTCATTTGCAATAAAGCGACAAAACCCTTTCCATATCCAACTGAAATCTCTGCATAAATCAGAGTCGGTTGTGCGATTCCGAACATATCATGAGCATGTGTTTATGAATCACTATCAAAAAGTAAAGATACCAGGTGTTCGCGAAAAGGTGAGAGTATCCTGCCCCACCGGTGGCATCCATCACAAACACATGCAAAAGCAAGTCAACTGATAAACACGGGAACAAATGGTACAAGTCAACATAGGGAATTGATCGAACATAATTTTTGTCACAGATGTGTCAGATTTGGAAGTGTCCTCCACATGTCTACCATAAAACGTTTGGGAAGCTTTACTGAGGTGTTGAATGTTGTAACCTTGATGAAACAACTTCTAAGCAAGAGTCGTATGACGCTCTTTGAAATCTTGGTAGAAAAAGCATGCTCGATTGTATCTCAGAAGTTGTGAAATGTAAACACCAAAGGCTGGAGCTGCTGGAATATTGCTCGACATGGAGGGAAAGTTGTCTACTGGAAAGTTGAAGACATCCCTCTTGTCCTACCATCTTGTAGAGAGTGTTTGGCACTCAGAATCTTTATGCACAGATCTAAATATGAAACAGATGAGGCGGTCTCAGTGGTCTCCTTTATTTCTAGTTCAGGTGGGTAAATCAGCGGAAGGGAATTGGCTATTTGATTAGTATTGAACGATATCAGATCATCGATATACCTGAGGCATAAGTTAAACTTCTTAGTTTTGACTTTGACAACCCTAACAGAAATTCCGATTCATATGCTTAAAGAAACTGATCCGCAAGAATGGGAGCACAATTGGTGCGCCCATGGGGATGTCTACTTCTTGCCTAGGTAGCTTACCCCTAAATTTAACTTAGATGTTATCAATGAGGAAGTCCAGCATCTCACATATTGTTTCTCAGTAAACGTCAGATGGCATTTGCCTTCATTTTTCACAAATGGTCCGGAACCTCTGAATATAGATACGAAATTGTATCTGTATTCACCACGTTTTGTAACAAAAGCCACATGGATCAAGGAATGACGTTTTACCTTAAGTTAAACATGTTGGATAGTGGTGTACAAAGTAGAAAAATCAAATGTTTTGACAGCATGGAACTTGGTTCTTTTCTGAGATTGCAAATTCATTTCTTACCTGTTGCAAGAATTAGTTATCCCTAAACACACATAATCAGCTGTTCTTTCAATTATAATTACATTAAATGAAGGCCAATTAACCATATCAATATTGTATACTCATATGATGAATACAATGACTACAACAGAATATTTAAAGAGCAAAATTTGTATTTATTAAACTGTGCTTTAATGGATAATGGTTTTGGTTGGTCATTTACAATTACATGTAAATGTGATCACAGTTGCCACCACATCTGCAAAGTGGTGAACCAATTAAATGTGCCACAACACAAACACACCATGCTCTGCAACTACATCTCAGAAGAGTGAGTGAGTGAGTTGGGTTTGACGCCGCTTTTAACAGTATTCCAGTCATATCACGGTGTGTCAGCTTAATGTGGGAGGAAAGCCCGAAGTGATGCAGGTCTCAGACGTTTACCACTTCGGTGAAACCCACGAGCACGGGTATGGTGCTGACAAACCTAGAAACATAATCGGGGCGAACCGGGATTCGAGCCCACAATCATAGGTTTCTGGCGTGCCCAAGGGACGCAACTCTGCACAGCAAATCGCGGCGCCTTAGACGACATGTGCATCACACAAAACGCTTTGATGATATACTGAACCGCGAAAGAAACGTCACCCCACGTTGCATGAAAAGTTATCATTTAAATATCTGGGTAATTTTTGTCAAAGTTTCTAAAAGTTAACATTACCTTGTCCGGTAAAATGAAATTTATTGATAAAAAACCAAAGCAGATGATAAGAAAACCGATCGCCCAAACGCATCACGGCAACGGCCATGGTAACCCGATGCACGTGAGTTCCGTGCAAATTGAAATGCACGTGCGTTCCCCCGTTTCTTGCCCTATAAACATCCACCCAGATCGGATACCATTCATTCGTTATTGAATTGCTACCACATGCCGAGATTGACAAAAAAAATGGACACCAAGCCCTTGGACGATTGCAAGCTGGACAAATCGCCCGGCAAGTAGCCAATGCATTTCACACATAAGTGCGGACACCGTGCGTCCACGATTGACGAGCAGACACCTCCACTGACATTGGTCACACCGAGGACCCATTCAGACACCACGTCATCGCCGGGACCGTCTCCAGTGGTCAACAGAGCACCAGCAGTGGAGACGAGCCCTCTTCTCAGACGAGAGCCGTTACTGTATCTCAAAAGCAGATGGCAGAGAGAGAGAGAGAGAGAGAGAGAGAGAGAGAGAGATAGAGAGAGAGAGAAAGAGAGAGAGAGAGACTGGCGGCGCCGTGGGGGACGTTGTTCGGATGCTTGTGTTGTCCGACCAAGGCCGACAACTGCAGCTGAACTGCGTCAGGCGTTCCTCAGAGTGTGGGCTCAAGTGCCTATGTCCTTCATCAACCGCCTCATCCTTTCCATGTATCGATGTTGTACGGCAGTCATCAATGCACAGGGCGGAAACACGAGGTACTGACTTGTGGTGTCATTTTCTCAGAGATTACTGTTCTGTTTCACTTTATGAACATTTGACACTTAAATTTCCACCTTGATGATCAGTTTTGCCAAGTTACATATTTTTAATATGTCTCAAAGTATGTTTACAGTGTTTGGACAAATAAGGTTTCTCATATATTTATCCATGGTGACGTTTCTTTCGCGGTTCAGTTTATTTTGCCAAATCAGATGACAACTCCCGTACCTTTACACCACTTTTGACCAATTTGATGAAAACCCATTAACACGGGTAATTTCAGGACAGTGAGTGAATAAATGTGTGAGCTGAGTTTATCGCAGCTTTTAACAGAATTCACGTTTTATCACCACGTGTCAGCTTGATGTGGGCGGAAAGCCCGAAGTGACGCAGGTCTCAAATGTTTACCACTTCGGTGAAACCCACGAGCACGTGAATAGTGCTCACAAACCTAGAAACATAATTGGGGCGAACCGGGATTCGAACCCACAATCAAAAATGTCTGGCATACCCGAGGGACGGACCTCTGTGCGAAAATTTAGTCGCCAGGGCAACCAGTACCCCAAGAGATAACGTTCCTGTTTCACTATTCTCACAACAGTTATGGATCGAGTGCTTGCAATGAAGGACCAGACTGTTAACGTGTCATCGTACCCGACGGCGTGAGAAGTTGCTCTGGATGTCAACAACTTGTTTGTCTTGTCCATTTATCAATTTCTCATAGGCCTACGTCATAGAACTAAGCGTTAGCATCAAGTCCAAATGCTGGTCCTAATCCCGGTCCTTGGCAAATGCCATATCGTTTTATGTCAGGTCATGTTACAAATGGTTCGACCGCACCGTAATGTATTGAAAACACGCGTTTCATATGAGTGTGTGCACACTTGTGAGAACACTCATACTCACTTTGTATCCTGTCACTCGGTATCGACCTCCGACCGACTGTGGCACGGATACTGTTATTCCTCTTGGGAGGCACCAGTGATGCTGACAATGCCAACCAGGGAATATTTTCCCTCATATCTTCAGCCTCCTAATCTCCTTTATTGTTTTCATTCTTGTTCTTGTCAGGCCGCGAAGATTAGTGATAAATCAAGATCCCAGATCTTACTCAAGCAAACAAGCAAACTCCTTCGTTGATCCCAATGTCAACATAGGAAGGCCATCTGCTGTCTAATTAATAACTCTTACATCTGTCTGTTTCAGAGGCCCATTGTAAATACTTGCACGATTATTAATAATGGTGAAATTGTGTCTGTTGCAAAGATAAGACATTCAACATGAGTTTGTGATATTGGCAGTCCCTTTCTATCCATGGTGGTGGTCGGAAGTGTTTTTGGTTTTTTGTTTCCTGGGAGTCTCATTTGAAGAAGACGTTGTATTCCAAACATATTCCTTTGATAATCAGATTTCGTGAATGGGATATTTGACTCTTCAAGACTACATTGAGGATTTCTTTCTTCAGGGAGTCTGTCAGAGAATATTATTCTTTGGAACTTAGGAAGATTCATTTATCTGGTATCAGGTATCTGTCGAAGGTTGTCATCAATGGACAATTCTAAGAAAGTTTAATATAATACTTAAGTTAGATTTGATTTTACACCGGATCTATAGATTTGAACATTAGTCGAAATGATTTCAACAGAACTTACATCAGTTTTCAACGTGACAGAGGTTCCAGAGGGCGAGAACGCCTCCCAGAACAGTTCCGGGTATTTCATGGTTAATTACAGCGAGGACAACTTCATCCCTACTCCCTTGGCCCATGACCTGGTGGTGACCTTCATGGTCTTGTACATCCTCATCATCGTGCTGGCGTTGCTGGGCAATCTGGTGGTCATCGTGGTCATCTTCCTGACCAAGATGATGAGGTCAGTCACCGACCTGTTCGTCGTGTCCCTTGCGGTCAGTGACCTTCTCATCTCCGTCCTCAACATGCCCTTCCAGTTGCTGTCCATCGTGACCAATGAGTGGACAATGGGGTTGTTTATGTGCAAGTTCCACAGCTACATCCAGGGTGTTACCATCGTGTCCAACATACTCACCCTGCTCGCCATTGCTATCGACAGGTACAGTGAATACATACAAACATTAATCTCCCTTTTCCGCTGAAATCAATGTCCATGTGTAAGGCCTTTCCACGTAACCTTCTTGTCTTCAAGGGTTGAGACATTTTTTATTTTATTAATATTCTTTATCACTTTATCCTTATACCTGACCTCTTCATGACTGTTGTAATGCTATCACAATACAAGATAAAGTCTTCATTGTCATCGGTGATTTAGTCCCCTCTACATAACCATGAGGGCGGTCGGGTAGCCTAGTGGGTGGATAAAGTGTTTGCTCTTCACGCCGAAGACCCGGGTTCGATTCTCGACATGGGTAGAGTTTGTGAAGCCCAGTTCTGGTATCCCCTGCCGTGATATTGCTGGATTATTGTTAAAAGCGGCGTAAAACCACTCACTCACTACATAACCATGATGTAACCCTGTCTCAACTTCCGTACCTTTTCATGTCGGTAATGCCCTCGACGAGTGCGTCACTTGTACTTCACCAGTCGTCACCAGTAAGTGTCACTTGCACTTAACCCTTCCTCTAATGCCATCAACGCGTACGTCACAAGTATTTAACCATGTCGGTAATGCCCTCAACGAGTACATCACAAGTACTTAACCATGTCGGTAATGCCCTCAACGAGTACGTCACAAGTATTTAGCCATGTCGGTAATGCCCTCAACGAGTACATCACAAGTACTTAACCATGTCGGTAATGCCCTCAACGAGTACGTCACAAGTATTTAACCATGTCGGTAATGCCCTCAACGAGTACGTCACAAGTATTTAACCATGTCGGTAATGCCCTCAACGAGTACGTGACAAGTATTTAACAATGTCGGTAATGCCCTCAACGAGTACATCACAAGTATTTAACCATGTCGGTAATGCCCTCAACGAGTACGTCACAAGTATTTAACCATGTCGGAAATGCCTTCAACGAGTACGTCACAAGTATTTAACCATGTCGGTAATGCCCTCAACGAGTACGTCACAAGTATTTAACCATGTCGGTAATGCCCTCAACGAGTACGTCACAAGTATTTAACCATGTCGGTAATGCCCTCAACGAGTACGTGACAAGTATTTAACCATGTCGGTAATGCCCTCAACGAGTACATCACAAGTATTTAACCATGTCGGTAATGCCCTCAACGAGTATGTCACAAGTATTTAGCCATGTCGGTAATGCCCTCAACGAGTACATCACAAGTACTTAACCATGTCGGTAATGCCCTCAACGAGTACGTCACAAGTATTTAACCATGTCGGTAATGCCCTCAACGAGTATGTCACAAGTATTTAACCATGTCGGTAATGCCCTCAACGAGTACGTGACAAGTATTTAACCATGTCGGTAATGCCCTCAACGAGTACATCACAAGTATTTAACCATGTCGGTAATGCCCTCAACGAGTATGTCACAAGTATTTAGCCATGTCGGTAATGCCCTCAACGAGTACATCACAAGTACTTAACCATGTCGGTAATGCCCTCAACGAGTACGTCACAAGTATTTAACCATGTCGGTAATGCCCTCAACGAGTACGTCACAAGTATTTAACCATGTCGGAAATGCCTTCAACGAGTACGTCACAAGTATTTAACCATGTCGGTAATGCCCTCAACGAGTACGTCACAAGTATTTAACCATGTCGGTAATGCCCTCAACGAGTACGTCACAAGTATTTAACCATGTCGGTAATGCCCTCAACGAGTACGTCACAAGTATTTAACCATGTCGGTAATGCCCTCAACGAGTACGTCACAAGTATTTTACCATGTCGGAAATGCCCTCAACGAGTACGTCACAAGTATTTAACCATGTCGGTAATGCCTTCAACGAGTACGTCACAAGTATTTAACCATGTCGGTAATGCCCTCGACGAGTACGTCATAAGTATTTAACCATGTCGGTAATGCCCTCAACGAGTACGTCACAAGTATTTAACCATGTCGGTAATGCCATCAACGAGTATGTCACAAGTATTTTACCATGTCGGTAATGCCCTCAACGAGTACGTCACAAGTATTTAACCATGTCGGTAATGCCCTCAACGAGTACGTCACAAGTATTTAACCATGTCGGTAATGCCCTCAACGAGTACGTCACAAGTATTTAACCATGTCGGTTATGCCCTCAACGAGTACGTCACAAGTATTTAACCATGTCGGTTATGCCCTCAACGAGTACGTCACAAGTATTTAACCATGTCGGTGATGTCCTCAACGAGTACGTCACCAGTACTTTTTCATGTCGCTATGTCATCGACGACTACGTCACTTGTACTTAGCCTTACCGCTAATGCGCTCGATAAGTACATCTCTAGTACATAACCATGTCGGTTATGCTCTCGACGAGTACGGCACTTATACTTTACCAATCGTCACCAATGAGTATCACCTGTACTTAACCCTGTCGCTCATGTCACTGACAAGTAGTGCTTCACCAATCGTCACCAGTGAGTGTCGCCTATTCCCATATGTTGGTAAGCCCCTTCACTTAACCCTCTTGCCATTGCCAGCACAATGATCGTTCTAACCACTGACGGCCATCAGGTGAAGATTACCCTTCTGTTACTGCCATTTAGAACTGGCGGAGTTCTTCTATAACTCGTAATTACAAAAAAATAATGCGCTTTCGTATCGTAAATATTATATATAAGATATAACACATGCTTTTATTCCGTGTGTGTAATAAGTATGATACGAAAACACGAATAATTTTACACGTATTGTGTCCTTAGCAAATCAATTCAAGGCATATTTTCATTTGGTAAAGCGATACTTGCGTAGGGATATGATACCTGAGTGAAAAGTCTCATTTAGTATGTAATGCCAATTGACTTGCAACAATGTGTCTTTACATAAGCACTCCCACATCGGGAATACTATATCTTAAGCTCTTTGGGAATACCAGGCAACAACCTTTTCATCAAGTTGACATCGCATCTCGTGGAAAAATAGTACCTGCAAGGTGACTTCATTAATTTGCGAATTGATCGTATCATGATTCCAAGCTTATCCTATTGGTTTATCTCACTGATGAAATTATCAATTATTTGAACATGTTTTGAAATTGAATTTTATTTTACAATTCCTTTGCCAATTTGCAGAAACACTGTATTGTAACATACATGATATTAGTCGTGGTATTTTCTTGCCATTGTAAAGGGGCGAGCAAAAGAAAGTATACACCCATGTTTGATGATTAAAAATGAAACAAACAAGAAAATGGTCAATCGATGGTTTTTGATACGGATATCATAGTTGTGTTTTCCACCTTTAACTTGCTTTGTTTCGGCGACTGTCAGCCTAGTAATGTTTTGATATCGTATATATTTTTTTGGTCAAATCCAACTTCCTAGAGTTAACTTTTTTTCGCCCGGCAGTGTATATTGATAAAAACATTTGGATACGGTGTGACGTATATTCACTACTATCATAATGAGGGGGCACGGGTGGCCCAGTCGTCTAAGGCGCCGCGATTCGCTGTGCAGAGTTGCGTCCCTTGGGCACGCCAGAAACCTATGATTGTGGGTTCGAATCCCGGTTCGCCCCGATTATGTTTCTAGGTTTGTCAGCACCATACCTGTGCTCGTGGGTTTCACCGAAGTGGTAAACGTCTGACACCTGCATCACTTCGGGCTTTCCTCCCACATTAAGCTGACACGCAGTGATATAACTGGAATAATGTTAAAAGCGGCGTTAAACCTCACTCACTATCATTATGATGTTTGAACATGATGAATTGAGTATGCATTTCACGTATTGGTACTTGTATCTTTGGCGTTAAAACCCGTACTAGTGTCTTTGATATCTGTCTACATCTGTTTTGTGTAGGTACTTGGTCATCTGCCATACAGAAGTATCCAGAAAATTCCACACAAAGAAAGTCGGCTGGATCGTTCTGTTCGTCGTGTGGTTCGTCTCGCTCATCGTCGTGTGTCCCCAGATCATCGTCCAACGTCTGGCTATGCGTCTGAAGATCGACTCCGCCAATCAAATCATCGGTGTCGGATTCCTTTGTGTCGAATTCTACCCTCATCCCGACCGCGACAGCAAGATATACACATTCACAATCTACAGCTGCATGTATCTCCTTCCGGTATGCGTGATGGCCTTCACTTACGGTGCCATTGCGCATCGTCTATGGGTGAGACATCCGATCGGAGATATGCTTGAAAACCCGAGAAATCACGCCAAAAATATCCAACAGAAGAAGAAACTGACGCAGATGTTGATGTTGCTGGTCGTCGCCTTTACAGTTCTGTGGTTTCCCTTCTTTACGGCTTCACTCTACCGGGAGTTAGTGAAGACGGGTTCCAAGTTCCGAATCGGTATGGCTATCCTGCAGCTGATTGGCTACAGCAACTGCTGCGTTAACCCAATCATTTACACGTTCTTGAACAAAAAATTCCAAAGAGAATTCAAACGTATTTTCACCAAGAGACGTGTTGACGTCAGGAACATTGAACAGGGTCAACCACAGCATTCTGCAGCGGCTACCACCAAGACATCAGTGCAGCATATCAGTAGTAGGAGACAAGTCAACACATTCAACCTCCAATGAGTGAGTGAATGAGTATTGTTTTACGCCGTTTTAGCAATACCAAGGGGACACCAGAAATGGGCTTCACACTTTGTACCCGTGTCGGGAATAGAACCCGGGTCTTCGGCGTGACGAGCGAACACTTCAACCACAAGGCTGCCACACCACCCCCAACCTCAACTCGTAACCAATGATCCGGGTTAAAATTGGTTTTCTGCCATCCATGCTTGGCGGAAGTGGTCGGGCTCGCTGACTTGACTGATACATGTCATCGTATCTCAGTTGCGTAGACCGATGCTCATGATGCCAATCACTTGATTGTCTGGTCCAGACTCGATTATTTACAGACCTCCGTCATAGAGCTGGAGTGACTGAGTGAGTGAGTAGGGTTTAACGCCGCTTTTAACAGTATTACAGTTATATCGCGCTGTGTCAGCTTAATGCGGAAGGAAAGCCCAAAGAGATGCAGGTCTCAGACGTTTACCACTTCAGTGAACATAGAGCTGGAATATTTCAATATAACAAACTCACAAACAAACCGATGCCGTCTATATTATTCCCCCTCTCCTAGCTCAGCTTCAGGGATAGCGATTGGCGATGCGAAAGAACGTTTGCAACATTTCAGCAATATCACGACGGGGGACACCGGAGAATGGGCTTCACTGTTTGTACTCATGTGGGGAATCGAACCCGGGTCTTCGCGTGACGAGCCAGCGCTTCAACTACTAGGCTACCCCCATCGCCCCGATGTTCAGATTCAAGTTAATGACTTGCTCCCAATTACTGGAATATCATGAGACCAACTTGGTACGCACGCACGCATACACAAACAGAATCGTCCCTAAATAGTCCATCTGTTACCTACCAAATTGTTGTTGATTGTAATGTATTAAAATGTGTGATATTATTTCCTATTGATATGCTTTTTCTTGTATATATCGTACATGTATAACAGTAAGTACCCCACAAAACAGATCCATTGAGGAACCATTGGGAGTTCACAGGCTTTTAGGCGTGTTTATGTTCCTGTAAAGGACCTTTGACTTCACTGTCAGTGTAAAGTCCTTATCCGTTGCTTCACTGTCAGTAAATCAGACCTTGTCCATAGCTTCCCTGTCAGTAAATCAGACCTTTTCCATAGCTTCACTGTCAGTAAATATGGCCACTGTCAATTTAAAAACGGTCTTGTCCATAGCTTCCCTGTCAGTAAATCAGACCTTGTCCATAGCTTCACTGTCAGTAAATAAGGCCACTGTCAATTTAAAAACGGTCTTGTCCATAGCTTCACACACTGTCAGTAAATCAGACCTTGTCCATAGATTCACTGTCAGTACATGAGGCCACTGTCAATAAATAAGGTCTTGTCCATAGCTTCACACACTGTCAGTAAATCAGACCTTGTCCATAGCTTCACTGTCAGTACATAAGGCCACTGTCAATTTAAAAACGGTCTTGTCCATAGCTTCACACACTGTCAGTAAATCAGATCTTGTCCATAGCTTCACTGTCAGTACATGAGGCCACTGTCAATAAATAAGGTCTTGTCCATAGCTTCACACACTGTCAGTAAATCAGACCTTGTCCATAGCTTCACTGTCAGTACATGAGGCCACTGTCAATAAATAAGGTCTTGTCCATAGCTTCACACACTGTCAGTAAATCAGACCTTGTCCATAGCTTCACTGTCAGTACATGAGGCCACTGTCAATAAATAAGGTCTTGTCCATAGCTTCACACAATGTCAGTAAATCAGACCTTGCCCATAGCTTCACTGCCAGTACATAAGGCCACTGTCAATAAATAAGGTCTTGTCCATAGCTTCACACACTGTCAGTAAATCAGGCCACATGGGGCAACATAAACAGGTGGTCAGTTAAGATAAATAAGAATAACGAACTGTGGTCTTGCTGGCATCTTAGTACCCGCAGTATAAATGGAATGATTTGGGGGTGGGGTGGGGTTGGGAGGTGTTGGTAGGTGTTGGTAACTAAAGAAAGATAAAGGGTTCCTGTATGATAGAAATGCTACTGGTCATATAGCAACAACTCATTTAAGATCCCATAGACTTTAAAACCTCAGAGGGATTTTAACCTGCACAGTGTTGATGTGTACTCCTTCGCGCTATCACCTGTGCTACGGAGACTGTTGTCGTCACAAGTGTCAAATTTCCTAGTCACCAATAACCTAGTTGGTTAGGTTGTACATTTTTTGGTTGATATTGTCCCAAGATTGTTGTCCTGGTGGTATATGTGTTATGCAAGTTCCTGATTTGCACATAAAATGTTAATATATATAATACATCTTACCCATATTTGACTTATTTTCCAATGATATGCACTTGAAAGTCGAAACATGTTTTAACGTGTTGAAATTCGGAACATGTTTAAACTCGGAACATGTTCAAACATGTTTAAAATCTAAACATGAATTCAAGTGTTAAATTCTGAACTGTTTAGATTATTGGGGTGTTCTGTTTAGGTGGTGTTTAGGTCGTGAGACGATTTTATGTGTTTAGTCCAAAACGTGTTTGGATAGAACACACCAGCTGTCTATTACATTTAGGATTTAAACACATTACTAATCATGTTTAGATCTGAATATACTTTCTAAACATATTTTTACAGTGCACAAATAAACACTGACCACCTGTTTCAGATTGTTTTGTTTGTTTGTTGTTCAACGCCGCACTCATTCCAGCTATATGACGGCGGCCTTATAATCAATCCAGCGATTGATATCATGAGCATCGATCTACGCAATTGGGATATGATGACATGCATCAACCAAGCCAGGGAGCCTGAACACCTGATCCCGTTAGTCGCCTTGTACGACAAGCATGGCTTGAGACCAATTCTTTCACGCGTCGCCTGTCCTTAACGGAAGAGAAGTAAACTAAGCGGCAAAAGAAAGTATAGGTTGGCAATTTGTAATTTTCCTAAAAACAGCGATAACTAGTGGAAAGTGGGTATCGGGAATATGACTGCCCAGGAACAGGTACCAAAAAACACCTCACCCGAACGCGCCACCTTTGACGGCGCTCGTGCGGTGACAAAAAAATGGTAAAACAGGTTTCCCGCCTAAGGCAAAAACTGCACGTTCATGTTAGCTGTATAAATGCGTTCGTCTGCAGGGTATAACCACACTTGATGAAAGAACACAAAAGAAATGCCACGACTGTCACAGGAGCAGAGAGAGAGAATGGGGGCAACACAGGTCCAAGTTGCCAGAAGGTTTGGTTGTACACCATTGACAGTAGCCAGGCTGATTCAACGGTACGGGCAGACAGGGAGGACACAGGACAGGCCTAGAACCGGACGATCCCGAGTGACAACACCACTGGAAGACGGTCGGATACGGCACATTCACCTGCGGAACAGATTCGTAACGGCGACGGCGACGGCGACGGCGACGGCAGCAACAGCGTTGGGACATCCCATTAGTAAACGTACAGTACTACGACGACTTCGTGCTGCTGGAATCCGAGCGTATCGTCCTGTCCGAGGAATGGTACTGACTGCTCAACATCGACGACTGAGACTGCGATGGGCGAGGCAGGTTCGACGCTGGCAAATGAGAAATTGGCGTCGAGTGCTGTTTACTGATGAAAGTCGGTTTAACTTGTTTCGAAATGACGGCAGAGAACGAGTTTATCGACGCAGAGGGGAACGTTTGGCTCCGGTGTGTATTCGAGAGGTACATCCATTCGGCGGGGGAGGTGTCATGGTGTGGGGCGGTATTTGTGGAGATCAGAAGACTGATTTTGGTGATTATACAGGGAAACCTGAACGCATTTGTTACCCCTCCCTAGATTATATTATACTTCACAACAAAACCTCTTCTTGTTATTTTTTATCGATCATGGAACTCGACCTTTACTTTCTTTTTGCCGCCCTGTTTATGTGGGTCCGCGAGGGTCGCGAATGTTCGTGAAAGTTCAATTCTGAATGGCGTAGTCGGTCCAGGCGACCGTCAGTTCCCCCGGATTGGTTAATTGGGAAGCTTGTTGTTAAACGCCGCAATCAGCAATATTCCAGCTATATGACGCCGCCCTGTAAAATAATCCAATCTGGACCAGACAATCCAGTGATTGACATCATGAGCATCGATCTATGCAATTGGGATACTATGACATGCATCAACCAAGTCAGCGAGCCTGACCACCTGATCCAGTTAGTCGCCTTTTACGACAAGCATAGTCGCCTTTTACGGCTAGCATGGGTTGCTGAAGACCTATTCTATCCCGGATCTTCACAGGGTCCAGTTAACAATTAATTCTCAACATCTATCAAAACATTATCATTTATGCGTGTATATTTTGATATATTTTTTAAATAATATCTTTTATCCAAGGTATATCAAATAGAGAGATATGATTCACCAGGAGGCAAATTTTACTCAAACGAATTTTTCCCATCGGGTTTTCGATGACATCACGCACTTTCGCTTCAACTTCTGTCACTTCGCCACTACTTTGAAAATAGTGAAATATCAAATTACACCTCTTTGACTGACCTTCAACCTTGTAGACCAGGCTTTCAACACTCTTTCTAAGTTTCGTGGTTTTTTTCAGACAATGTCGCCATGTGCCGCTCGACAAACTCAACTTAATCTTTTACATAACTTCAGACATGCTCATCTTTCCTTGTCCTTGATCGGGGGCACGGGTGACCTAGTCGTCTAAGGCGCCGCGATTCGCTGTGCAGAGTTGCGTCCCTTAGGTACGCCAGAAACCTATGATTGTGGGTTCGAATCCCGGTTCGCCCCGATTATGTTTCTAGGTTTGTCAGCACCATACCCTTGCTCGTGGGTTTCACCGAAGTGGTAAACGTCTCAGACCTGCATCACTTCGAGCTTTCCTCCCACATTAAGCTGACACGCAGCGATATAACTGGAATACTGTTAAAAGCGGCGTTAAACCCAACTCACTCACTCAATTGTCCGGGATCGTTTCTATAGCATGTCCAAGGAGCAGTAGGAGTGACAAAAACACGCACAATCTTAGTCCCAGCTTCATACACTTGGCACGTGCGTTCTCATGGCGGCCTTTCGTTGTCCTCATCTCAGCAGGAACCCAGCGACTGGAAGCAGTCTTTTCTCAACCTGCACGTTCCTAAATCGCAGCTCATTATCTTGTCTCAGCAGTAAAATCAAATTGTTCAAATGCTTTCGGTGTAAAAATGTCTATAAAAATCAAGGTTTTCCAAACTGGACAGAGCCCGCGTGGCATGCGTCCGCTCTTATCGACCACTTGGTGACAGTCCTATTGGAAAATGTGTCACATGATGGACCACCATGTAATAATGTTAATAAATAACAACAGCTATATCGACATATCACCAGTTATTTAATATACCCCAGGCCATACCGTGCGGCATTTCGACATAGACTTTCTTAGTCTCCATCTGAATATTTCAGCGTTAGCTACAACTGATATCTTCTAAAAGGAAGAATTCCGAGTAAAATGACAGTAATCAGAACCTCCTTCAGAACACCAGTGACTTACCTTCTACACGTTTACCGAATATAACAATTGTTATGAAAATATAGAAAATTAGTTTTACGAAATGTTTACTCATATGCAAAAGGCATATTCAGTTCTATTTTCACGGGGATTCCCAGTCCATTGTTGTGCCGCTGCGATGAGTTCGAACCCAGAAGACACCGTGAAGAAGGCCTACAGCGACTGGTCCAGTAGGGGGTCGTGTGCCTTTAAGACAATCACGACCGGTAGAGCACAGGAGCTCAAAGAGGCGCTCTGGACAGGTGAGATAAACACTGATAAATGATTGAGTGAGTTGGGTTTAACGCCGCTTTTAAGAGTATTCCAGTTATATCACGGCGTGTCAGCTTAATATGGGAGGAGATCCCGAAGTCATGCAGGTCTCAGACGTTTACCACTTAGGTGAAACGCACGAGCACGGGTATGGTGCTGACAAACCTAGAAACATAATCATTGCGAAGCGGGATTCGAACCCACTATCATAGGTTTCTGGCGTTCCCAGGGGCCACAATTTGCTCTGACGGCCACCCGTGCCCCCGGAAATGGAAGGACAAGGTGATAGGTAGCTTTGTCATGTCAGAGAGTCAATAAGTATCATAATCTGGCAACCCAAACGTTAACAGTATACCGAGGACATGTTGGGGTTAGACTCTAATGTTCATATTCAACACCTGCACATAACATAGCAGGATATCGTGGACACATTAGACTCCAGAATAGTATGGGCATATACGACACCAGGATATTAGGGACCAGAAAACACAGGGATATCGTGATATCTTGGTATTATGGACAAGAAAAACGCCACGATATCATGTCAAGGAAACATCTTGATATTATGGACAAGTAAAACACCACGATATCATGTCAAGGAAACATCTTGATATTATGGACAAGTGAAACACCACGATATCATGTCAAGGAAACATCTTGATATTATGGATATGTACAACACCACGATATCAAGTCAAGGAAACATCTTGATATTATGGATAAGTAAAACACCACGATATCATGTCAAGGAAACATCTTGATATTATGGATAAGTAAAACACCACGATATCATGTCAAGGAAACATCTTGATATTATGGATAAGTGAAACACCACGATATCAAGTCAAGGAAACATCTTGATATTATGGATATGTACAACACCACGATATCAAGTCAAGGAAACATCTTGATATTATGGACAAGTGAAACACCACGATATCAAGTCAAGGAAACATCTTGATATTATGGATAAGTAAAACACCACGATATCATGTCAAGGAAACATCTTGATATTATGGATAAGTAAAACACCACGATATCATGTCAAGGAAACATCTTGATATTATGGATAAGTAAAACACCACGATATCATGTCAAGGAAACATCTTGATATTATGGATAAGTAAAACACCACGATATCATGTCAAGGAAACATCTTGATATTATGGATAAGTAAAACACCACGATATCATGTCAAGGAAACATCTTGATATTATGGATAAGTGAAACACCACGATATCAAGTCAAGGAAACATCTTGATATTATGGATAAGTAAAACACCACGATATCATGTCAAGGAAACATCTTGATATTATGGATAAGTAAAACACCACGATATCATGTCAAGGAAACATCTTGATATTATGGATAAGTAAAACACCACGATATCAAGTCAAGGAAACATCTTGATATTATGGATAAGTAAAACACCACGATATCATGTCAAGGAAACATCTTGATATTATGGATAAGTGAAACACCACGATATCAAGTCAAGGAAACATCTTGATATTATGGATATGTACAACACCACGATATCAAGTCAAGGAAACATCTTGATATTATGGACAAGTGAAACACCACGATATCAAGTCAAGGAAACATCTTGATATCATGGATATGTACAACACCACGATATCAAGTCAAGGAAACATCTTGATATCATGGATATGTACAACACCACGATATCAAGTCAAGGAAATATCTTGGTCTTGTGGACAAGTACAACACCACGATATCAAGTCATGGAAGCATCTTGATATTATGGACAAGTAAAACACCACGATATCATGTCAAGGAAACATCTTAATATTATGGACAAATGAAACACCACGATATCAAGTCAAGGAAACATCTTGATATCATGGATATGTACAACACCACGATATCAAGTCAAGGAAATATCTTGGTCTTGTGGACAAGTACAACACCACGATATCAAGTCATGGAAACATCTTGATATTATGGACAAGTGAAACACCACGATATCAAGTCAAGGAAACATCTTGATATCATGGATATGTACAACACCACGATATCAAGTCAAGGAAACATCTTGATATTATGGATATGTACAACACCACGATATCATGTCAAGGAAACTTCTTGATATTATGGACAAGTAAAACACCACGATATCATGTCAAGGAAATATCTTGGTCTTGTGGACAAGTAAAACACCACGACATCATGGCAAGGACTAGTCACAATATGGCTGAAATATCTGCCGATGGGACTATAAATCTTAACTCAGGCTCGGGTTATGCCCCAGGCTGTAACATGCTCTGTCTGGTCGGACGCACCATCAGTTTAGTATCAGATAGGTGGCATATAAAGGATATTACGTGGTCAGTGCGCTCCGCAATTGTCGAA